CTTTGGGTCGGTGGACATCCTCTGTGTGTGTGTGTGTGTGTGTGTGTGTGTGTGCCTTATGGGTCGGTGGACATCCTGTGTGTGTGTGTGGGAGGGTGTGTGCCTGATGAGTTGGTGGCCGGTAAAAATGGAACGATACAGAGGGAAAGAAGATTAGCATGGCCCCCGCGCAAGGATGGCACGCAAAAATTGAGAAGTGGTCGTAAAATTAAAAAAAAAAAAAACAAAAAAAAAACCAACAGTCTGTCCCTGCATCCCGTGATTTGTCCTTTTCTCCCTCTTTGGGTATAGTTCACCGGGGGAAGGGGAGGCATGGTGTCTAGGCTACCAGCCGGGCCGCCCGGGTCCCGGGTGGCCAGCCCGTGCAAGGACCAGGGAAGGTCCCAGGAAAAGAAAAAGAAAAAAATCAAAAAAATCGGAAAAAAAACTATGTTGTGCAGAAAAATAAACTAAACAACTTTTGCCTCAGGGTCACATCGAAATTCTTCACCAAATTTGGAATAAAAAATAAATTAAAAAATATTTTTATTTTTTGGCCCGGCCAGGCAAGTGACCCCGGGCCACTCTGGTAGCCTAGCATGGTGTGCAGACTATATTTTTATGTTTTTTTTTCTTATTCAAACCTTTGCCACTACAGTCCTGCTAACATGAGTTTTCTTTTTCTTTTTTTTTTGCCTTTTGAAACTCAAAACCGGACACTGGGTCACCTTTGACAGGTGGACTCCTCTTCCCAGGATCAATTCGTTCAATTAAAAGTAAAAATAAAAATAAAAATAAAAAACAAAATCTTGCAATTGCACATCTGCGAGGAGGGCCAGTTACGTACTTCTGCCAAACGCATGTTACTGATATCCAACTGCAGTGCGGGAGTTGGAAGATAAAAAACAAAGAGGGCACCGAATTTGCGGAATGAAAATGAATCTTCCGTTAGAACATGGAAAGATGCACTGCCATGTTTTCTGTCTTTTGTGCATCTGGTCTGTAGTGGAGCGAGGCCGTATAGCCTCGTGATGAATCAGTTAAATCTATCTATCCATCTATCTATCTATCTTATCTATCTATCTATCTATCTATCTATCTATATACACAGCCCCTCGTTTCTTGTCCTCTTCTCCCTCTCTATGGTAGATTGGTTATGGTAATCTTGTCTGCATCCCGGTTGGTTTTGTCCCGGTATTCGATCTATTCAGTCAGCAGGTAGCGGTGCTTTATGTGGGACCAGTCATCCGGGCTTTTTTTATTGCCTTGGCATCCTGGTTGGTTGTGTCCCGTTGTTCGGCATTTTGAGCGCGGGGCGGTGCTTGCATGTGGGAATCGTCGTCCGGGATTGTTTTTTATACCGGTCCCCGGGTTCTTTTTGATTTCTTTGCAGACAAGAATGCTTGACATCCTGGTTGGTCTTGTCCCGTTGTTTGGCCTGTGGGCAGGGGCGGTGCTTGCATGTCGGACTTGTCATCTGGGATCTGATTTGTTGCCCCCTGTTCTGTATTATTTGGCTGTTCCCTTCCTCTTTTGTTTGCCTCCTCTTCTTGCTGTGTGCAAGTGGGTCGATATGACACACGGGGGTGGGGGCAGCCGCCGCTCAACCTGCATCCACGTGGGCGGCCTTGTACACAAGAGGTTCTGAACAGGGGGAGTTATAAGGAAGAAGATAAAAAACTGAATTCATTTTTTCCTTTTTTTCTTTCTTTTTTTCTCTTTTTTTCGCATTTGCGCTCTGATATTCTTGTGACAATATATATCGTCAAACAGAGCTGCCCAGTAAACCGTTGGCACAGAGGGAGGGAGAAGAGGACAACAAACGAGGGGCTGTGACAAACTGTTCCGTTGGGCTTTTCCCGACCCATCATTTTTCCGCATTTGCACTCCGATTCACAGTCTCCATCCGGTGTGGGTGAGTGATAGTCTGCTTTGATTTTCGTCACAGATACCTTGAGGGCAGTGGTTGGTGCCCACCTCAAGGTATCGGTTGTCGGTCAGTTGTTGATGCGTAACCACAACCGGGGTTAAGGTGGATGATCACTTACAGTGTAATCAGTTAGTGGATTGTGCAGACTGTCGAGGTTTCAGCCTCCTGACGAGTCGGTGAAACTCCGATGGAACAGTTTGTCACAGCCCCTCGTTTGTTGTCCTCCTCTTCCTCCCTCTCTGCCTACGGTCTGCCGGGCAGCTCTGTTTTTGTCACAGCCCCTCGTCTGTTGTCCTCTTCTCCCTCCCTCTCTGCCTACGGTTTACCGGGCAGCTCTGCTCTGTTTGACGATATATTTAGTTTTTGAAATATGTATGTATGAGGGTTCAGCCTCCTGATGCGTCGGTGAAACTCCGATGAAACAGTCTGTCACAGCCCCTCGTTTGTTGTCCTCCCTCTCTAACCTATGGCTTACCGTACAGCTCTGTTTGATGATATGCAAATCGATCTATAGATACGTGCCCCCTATACTCAGTCCCCTCGTCCTCACAGTCTGTCACAGCCCCTCGGTTGTTGTCCTCGTCTCCCTCTCTGCCTATGGTTTACCGCACAGGTCTGTTTGATGATATACATATCGATCTATAGATATGTGCCCCCCCCCCCCCCTTGTACTCACTCCCCTCGTCCTCTGTCCCCATCGCTTCCTCCTCTTACTTGTGCTAATCCTCACATCACATCCTCCTGTTCACGCAACGAAGAACCTTTCAACAGTTATGCACAGCAGCAGACAAACAAGTCCATGCCCTAGTGGCGACACATCGAGGATCTCTTTCTTTGTGACAGTTGTTATGCTGTTGACGGCACCAACCTCGCGATGGATATCTGTCCGTGTTGCTCAGTCAAACGTCAGCCAACTGATCAATATCAGCCAGTTCGTCTTCTGGTCTCAAGTTGTCCGGTGATCTGTGGGCCACTGAAGCAGGTCCATTTTCTCGTCCGTTGATCTGGCTCCTGGTCTGTTCACTGGTGGACTTGTCTTTGAATTGCAAAGCAAAAGCAGAATTGATGTCTTCCTTTCTCAGTAGTGCTGTCGTATGTGAGGGAATCTGCTCTCTTTTCTTTTTTGCATCTTTCAATTGAATTGCTTGAGCGTTAAATTCGCTGTTAATCGATGAGGCAATGAAGTTGTGCCAATAGCCAGTGTGTCAGGAGCTGTGTTGCATTTGTCTGCTTCTGTGCAGAGCCTGTAAATGGATTTTCAGTAGTGTTTGAGGCTATGTGCGTTGGACAGGCAAATTGGTTAAGGGCCGGCTCTCACACACACACACTTTCTGGGATGCATCTAACTGCATTTATTGCCAGATTCACTTCAAAGTTCAAAAGGTAATACTGTGTTTGACACCTAATAAGGTGGTCATTATTCGTTCGGTGCCTTGCCCTCCGGAGCTCCTCTTTTTTTTTTTTTTCTCTCTCTCCTTTCTTTTTTGTTTTTGTTTCCGTTCCGCCTCCATTAGTTTCCTCTGGCTCTCTGAGACTGTAATTTCATCTGTAAGCTTGTCCATCTTCTTCTACATGCTGCTGTCTTACTGGTCTGTGCTGTGTGAACTTGGGATCTGTCGATCATGTGGCTGATTTGGCTGAGTGCAGATATGCTGCACTTCGGAGGAAGTTCCTTGTGGACCCCAGGATGATGACAGGGTGCCACTGTCCTGACCCGAGCTTGGACAATCCGCTTTCGCAAGATCCGGGTGAGCAAATCTAGGTAGCTGTCCTCTCTTTCTCTCTGTCTCCTTGTGTGCCTGCTCTTCCCTGCCGCCAGGACGTTGCAAATGATAATGGTTTTCTTGGCTCTCTGGCCCTTGCTGTGCTACTCTCCAGACGTGACAAAGACGAAAATGTCGACTCAATCTCTATCTTCCCACCTTCCACGTGAAGATAATCACTTTACACATTTGGTGAGTGGTTCTTCCCTGTCTTTCTGTCGCTCCCTGCTCCTCTCCTTGGCGCCTGTCTCTATATCGCCTTTCCGGCAAGTAACTGTAGGTACTCCCCTCTACCCTTGATCATATAATGTGTGACGGCATTGTTTGTACCATGGCATCTATAAGCAGGCAATACAGGTGCTTTGGCAGAAACTTGTCGACTTGCCATAAGACATCTTCAAAAAAAAATTAAAAAAGAAGTCTTATCAGCTATTGGAAAGCAAACGTGGCCTTAAGGTTAAGACTGTCAGGGTTTTTCACCGCAGTGGAAGTGCATGGCTGTCTCCTGAGTTCAGCAAAGTTTCGGAGTTGCTCATGGATGCTCTCTTTCCATTTGCACACCCAGTCAAGGGGAACAGAGGTGGCAAGAGGTATGTGTGTGTGTGTGTGTGTGTGAGAGAGAGAGAGAACACACACACACACACACAGAGAGAGAGAGAGAGAGAGAGAGAGAGAGAGAGAGAGAGAGAGAGAGAGAGAGAGAGAGAGAGAGAGAGAGAG